ACGTGCAATAATGTATCACAGGTGCTACCATAGCAGTGGGAACCAGAGGAGGGGAGTGGTAAATCTGCCCGGGGGGAAGAGGTCAGGTAAGATTCTACAGATCTCAGGATACTTGGGCAAAATTTCAGTTGGGGCAGGGTAGTGGATTTCTGACAGGATGTAGCCATCATGGGACATTCTTTAAAATTAATAATACCTGTCACCCCAATAAATGTAAATTTTAAGAAAATAATATGTTAAATCTTGGAGAAGAGAGTCTTAAATTCTCAAAGGGAGAACTTTAGATAATGTTTTCATAGTGCATTGAAACACAGTTAGAAATCTTTAAAGAAAATTATCCAGACAATAACACTTAGATCTCTTAAATAAGAGATCTCAAGTCAGGGAATAAATCATAGATGTAATAGAGGACTACTTTGAAAACCAAAAAAATGAACCATATATTTTTTAATTTTTATTTATTTGTAATTTAATTCTTATATTTTCAATTATAGTTAACATACAATATTATATTTGTTTTAGGTGTACAACATAGTGATTAGACATTTATATAACTTACAAAGTAATCACCCAGATAAGTCCAGTACCCATCTGATACCATACATAGTTATTATAATATTATTGACTATATTCCCTGTGCTATACTTTACATCCCCATGATTTTTCATAACTGGCAATTTGTACTTCTTTATCCCTTCACCTTTTTCACCCACCCGCCCCCAATCTGGCAACCATTTGTATATGAACACTATATTTTAAATTTTAGATTGAGGCCTTTAAAAATAGAACAATCATTTCATTTACAAGGAAAATCTGATTGGTAATGTGAATTTGTACCCAAGAAAAAGCAAGTTGATTTTAAATTGGATGGGGTTGTTTTGGTGGATTATTACATTGCATTTTTATGAAATTCTAGTAAACTTACACAAAAATAACTATTCTTAGTGTTAGTTAAAAACAAGATTACAAGCAGTACATGATATTAGACTTAGTAGGTCAGATTTTATTGCTTTTGGCTTAAGGACTACTGCAAAATTTATAGAGTACTTACAAAGTTAAATGGAGTGAGCAAATACATTTACCAATTCAAACATCTTCAAAGAAAACAATCAGAGCCATGTATCACAGTATTTGTAAAGCATGTTTACAGTAACTTCAGTCAATTCATTTATAAAAAATAAGGTTCATTGAAAAAAGTGTTCAGTCTTCCTCCCGTATTGGTACATACTTCACAAAACAGCACTTACTTTTTTCTAGTTTTTGAAAAAGGCATTGCTAAAAGAGAGGTTCTAAAATTCCACATGTGCCTGACAGACTTAATAAGAAGTACTCTGAAAAATAGGGCAGAAGAAGCAGCACTCATTTCAAAAGCAGAAGTTTCTAGTAGATTGCACGTACTCTTTTCATTAGCTTGTTTTTTCCTCCTCCTATTTGCTTTTCTGAAATATTGGCCATCTTCTCTCTAATTTTCCTCTGGGGGCCTTGATAAGCGAAGAAACAGCTTTTTAAAATGAGAGAAAAGACATTTTTCTAGCAAGTGTACCAATTTTAAAGTAAGATGGAACCTACTTCACTACTGGCTGCACTGCCTTGATTGCCAGTTGTTGGTGCTGAGCCATCCTCTCAGCTAGCTGCAATAGCCCCTTCACGTTTTGTCCTTTTTTGACTAACATATAACATATAATGGGTGCTTTCCATGTGCTCAGCTAAGAGTATTATACACATTACCTCCTTTAATTCTCAGAACAACTCTGAGGAAGGTATTACATAATCCCTATTTCAGAAATGAGGAGTCAGAGGCATGAGCTAAGTAATTTGCATAGTTTTACACAGCTGTCTAGGTAGAGTTGAGATTCAAATGCAGGCTTAAGAATTCAAGACCTTGACCACTACACCATCCTGTCTTTGCCATTTCCATATTAATGGGGTAGGCAGAAAAGCACCAACTTGGACACCAAATAAAAACGAGACAACCAGTGTATTATAATGTTAGCATGAAGGGGGAAAAGTAATACATTTTTAACTTTCTGCGTGATCATGGTTATGCAATAATGTCTTATAAATACTGGAGACATAATTTAACCAAATTCCTGCGTAACAGATAACATGCACTATGGACTGATTTGTGTCTCTCCAAAATTCTTATATTGTAGCCCTTAACCTTCAGTGTGATGGTATTTGGGGATGAGGCCTTTGGGAGATAATTAGGTTTATATGAGGTCTTCAGGGACCCTCAGTCATGAGATTAGTGCCTTTATAAGAAGAGGAGGCTTTACCAGAGCTCTCTGCAATGTAAAGGCACAGCTAGAAGGTAGCCATCTGCAAACCAAGAAAAGAGTCTTCACCAGAAACCGAATCAGCCAGCACCTTGATCTTGGACTTCCCGGTCTCCAGAACTGTGAGAAATAAATGTTGTTTAAACCACCCAGTCTATAGTATTTTGCGATAGCAGCCCAAGCTGACTCATACAAATTTTGGAAGTGGAGTGATCCTGTAAAAAAATATCTAAAAATGTAGAAGTGACTTTGAAACTGTGGTGATGGGTATTGGCTGGACAAGTTTTGAGGTGCATGCTAGAAATGTGTTAGATGTTAGGACTGACTGTGGTGACGTTTCAGATGGAAATGAGGAATGTGTTATTGGAAACTGCAGGAAAGGCAGTCCTCATCAGAAAATGGCAGAGAACTTGCTGAACTGTGTTTTTAGAGCAGCGGTCCCCAACCTTTTTGGCACCAGGGACTGGTGCTCCTATGAGAATCTAATGCCTGATGATCTGAGGTTAGACTGGGGAACAGATGCAGATACAGGTGAAGCTTCACTTGCTTGCCAGTCGCTCACCACCTGCTGTGCAGCCCGGTTCCTAACAGGCCACAGACCAGTACCAGTCCGCAGCCCAGGGGTTGGGGACCCCTGTTTCGAGTGTTTCGTGGAAGGTAGAACTTAACAAGTGATAAGACTTCTAAGCAAAGTGTTAAAGGAGTGCTTACGATATGAAGAGAAAGATGAATTGAAGAAGGAATTGTTAAGCAAACAGGAACCTGAACTTGATGATTTGGAAAATTCTCAGCCTATCCATATAGCAAAAAATGAAAAACCTTATTCTTTTTTTATTTATTATTGTTAGTTATGCTTACAGTACCTGGTCTTCCTAGGTAGTCTCCCATCCAAGTACTAACCAGGCCTGACCCTCCTTAGCTTCCGAGATCAGACATTGGGCTTGTTCAGGGTGGCATGGCCATAGACTATGGACTGTGGTTCTGCTGGGGCACGAATCCAGGACCTTCTGCGTGTAAAGCAGATGTGCTAACCACTACACTATGGAACCATGTCCGAGAGAAACCTTATTCTGAAGGGAACACTAATAGTGTGGCTGAGCTACCAGATGCTAAAGAGATCACAGGTGCAATTCATGGACTTAATCAGCCATCTCAACAGAAGCCAGGAACAGAGATGGGATTGTACCAGCAAAGACACTGCTAGTTTGAACTAAAGGGGACAGAAAAAATGAGATGAAATGAACGCTGTCAGATTTCTTAGACCCTACAGGACCGTACGATAGAGCCATTTGGCTGCAAACATGATCTATTTTTCAAGAAAAGAGAAGGACGGAGAAGGCAATTCAGAGATTATCAGAGCCACCCCCTCAGTTTCAACACACTTTGCCTTGGTGGGGAGAATCTCAGAGGTGGGGGCACTCCCCAGGGGGTCTGGAAGGCAGCACATTGAACCAAGGAGGATTATTCTTGAGGATTAAAATCTAATGGAATTTGCCTGGATGAATTTTAGGCTTGCTTAGGACCATCATTCCTTCCTGTTCCCCCTTTTCGGAATGGAAATGTCTATCTTCTGCCTGTCTCACTGTTGCATTTTGGAAGCACATAACTTGTCTGGTTTCACAGATTTGTAGCTGGGGAGGAATTCCTGCCTCATGATGAATCATACCTCTAGTCTCATGAATATTTGATTTAGATGAGATTTAGATGAGACTTTGGACTTTAGAGTTGATGCTGAAATGAGTTAAGATTTGGTGCTTTGGAGATAGAATAAATGTATTTTGCATATGAGAAGGACATGAATTTTGGGGACCTAAAGGCAGAATGCTATGGATTGAATTGTGTCCCTTCAAAATTCATATGTTGAAGACTTAACCTCACCCATGACCTTATCTAACCCTAATCACTTCCCAAAGGCCCCTTGTCCAAATGCCATTACATTGAGGGTGAGGGCTTCAACATATGGATTTTAGAGAGACAATTCAGTCCTTAGCAAATGCTATTTCTGTGCCTCAGATTAAGTAGTTTTAATTTAATTACCTTCTCTCACCATCCAAACCTTCCTGTCACTCCTCAAATCAGAGCTAGGATAGACTTATTAAAATGGCAATGTTGCCCAATATCAGTCCCTTATTCTGTGGCCGCCAACCCATCTTTAGAGACTGTCTGGCTCTTCACTGCTGTTGTTCTTTTGTCTTCTAATATTGCTCAGACCTACTCCATCATTTTCTGTGGTCTTTTCCTTTTAATCCTGTAGAGAATTTTACCTCTGATAAAAAGCTTTCCGTACCAGCATTGCTTTTGAAATTACTGAGGCATACACAGTTCCTGGCTCTAGGCATCCTTGCCTTTACACCAGCCTAGATCAAGTCATAACAGGACTCTAGGTGGACAGCCAGAGGGAGAAGTATAAACAGTCTCCAACATTACTCTTAAACTCAAGCTACTTCTCAGGCCAAAGATATAGCAGATATATTGGGAGAGGACACACCATGGGCCACCACATCTAGGTTTATAAGCTCCCTAGAACTTTGAAAAAAGAACACCACCCCTCTATATTTGAGTGAGTGCATTTGTATATATGGGTGCATAAAAGCAAGAAATTGAGTGATTCACTGAGGCAATAATAAAAATATTCACTTTAATCTTTATGTCTTTCTGTAACTTAATAGAACTTCTAGTAACAGAAAATCCATTCTCAAAAGACATGGTCAGGAAATAAGTGTGGGATGGGGAAGGGGTGGAAAGGAGAAGAACTAGAACTACAAGAGAAAAATAGACAAAACACCATGATTTCAAATTTCCCTAATTCTAAACTTGTAATGATTAGGGTCTGGTTTGAAATTTGCCTTAAAAAGGAAGACCTTTTTTTTGTAATAAACACTAACTGAGATTACAAGGGAGAAATTTAAAAGGATAGGAACATTTTCAAGACACCCTCAAGGATTTTAGAAGTAGCCATTATGATGTTAATTAAAATTTTTGTAATGTGAATTATATAGCATTAAGCATAATAAAAATCCAGTCATATAAAGTAATTCCTGTGCTTTTATAGGCAATTCTAATATATATATTAAAACTGATCTAAGGACCCCATACTACACAAAAAATCTATTTCATTTTAAAGCATTTTCTAATTTATATATCTATTATCTAGGCCTGAATGGTGAAATTTTGTTATAAACTAATGATTAATAAAAATGAAAAAGCTTGCAAAATACAAATTTAATAAAATCTCTAAACTAATGTGTCTTTTAAATGTATCAAAACATGTCAGACTTCATTACTTTGAACTTCTGCATAGTGGTATTTGTTTTGGAAATAATTGAGAATTCTAAATTAAGTTTTACTTGTCTTTATAAATTATCTTTTTTCAGGAACTGAAGTGAAAAAAATTGAAGCTATAAACGTTCCTTGCACACAGCTTTCAATGTCATTTTTTAATCGGTTATACGATGAAAACATTGTACGAGACAGTGGACATATTGTTAAATGTTTAGATTCTTTTTGTGATCCCTTTCTTATTTCTGATGAGTTACGAAAAGTAAGTACAGAATTTTTAAATTTCACAATAGAATTTTATTTCAAGAAATGCTTAATGTCAAAATCTTTTGCCTGTCTAAAACCCATTAAATACCTCTTATCCATGAATAATGTAATAATCATTACATTGGTAGATTTCTTCTTGGATGGGACTTTTGTTGTCAACTTAATTATTTGTGTATCTCAGTAGTTCTCACCTGGGCGCTACCGATATTTAATGGGTTGAGGCCAGGGATGCTGCTAAACATCATATAATGCACAGCACAGCCCCTCATAACAGTTATCTGGCCCAAAATGTAAGTAATGCTAAAGTAGAGAAATCCTGACCTATTTAATTGATGGCTATTTTTCTTCAATGTGGAGCTCTTAACATACCAAATGAAAACATCCCTGAAGTAAAAGAATCTTTCATCTTATCACTGAGATCAAAAAAGCTATTTGATTAAGTTAATTTTTGTTTTAGTGAGAGATGTGCTGACCTAGGAATCAAAACATGGATTATTTACCTAATTTCTGAGTTACTTGTTTTACAAGATAATGATGCTCTTAGGCAAATCAATATCTTGCACCTCAAGATCTTACCTCTACTACAAGATTAAAATGGCCATTCTATCCTCTTCCTGAAATTGTTGAGAAAATGAGTGGAGGAAGCATTTAAATGAACTTTTTAAAAAGTCTGAAATGCTGTTAAAATGAAATATATTATCATTATTTTAATTATTGAGAAAGAGTATTTACAAAGTGGTTATAAATTAGGGCTTTGGTATAATAGGTTCAAATCCAGGCTTTGCCTCTTAATAACTGTGAGACTTAATCTCTCTAAGCTTCAGTTTCTTTATAAAATAGGAATAGCATAAGAATCATATGAGATAATGCATTTAAAGTAGTTAACACAATGCCTGGCACTTAGTAAGCTTTTGATAATATTAACAACTACTGCTCATTACTATTACCATTCTACATTAAGAGAGAAAGAGATGTCTAATGTATTGCAAATACAGATGGAAATGAACTAGTGAAGCTACTGATGCACCATTCTGGACACAAGAATCTTGTCTGTAAGAGACCAGGAGGCATCTGGCCAGTCTTCACATTGCTCTACACTAGTACAATACCTAAGAGAACTCTTAGTTTAAGAAAATAAAATGAACCGATGGAAAATAACCAAACACACAATTGAATGAGACTATATATAAGTTGATCTTTAGTTAAATGAAGTATATTTATGTATAAAAATACTTTCATTCAGAAAGTATCTGGTCTAGTGTGGGTTTCTCTCCTTTTGGGTATGACTAAGCTCTTCTGTCACTGATCTGTGTTGGCATACTTTATTAACCTTTTTGTCTCAAGGCCCTTACCCCTAATTTTGGAGAGTTCACCAACACTTCTACAGAGAGCGCCTCAGCAATAGACTTCTTTTAAAGGAGGATTTGCTTTCCAATAGAGTACTCTTTAACACTGCTTGCTGCTGCCTGTCTTATTTATGTCATGAATAGTACCTCTATTCAGGAAGTGCTAGGACCCATGTTTTTCTGCTAGTTGCCTGTATGTTTTCCTCTGTGTTCTTTGCTACTCTGTGGCAACAGGGAAAGTTTTAACTTGATTGCTTTCTGGCTGAAAAGTAAATAAATACCAGATTTAGCCTGAACTAAAAAGGGCCCCCCATTGTGCAGCAACACAGATTCTATTGGCACATTGTGTAACGTAAGTACTGGTAATAACCTTCCTGACTGTGGCTCAGAAGTTTCATTCATTAACCATCGCATACCAACTCTCTGAGGGCTACAAAACTAAATAGACCTGTATGTGGATGGAGAGGGAGATCAACCATAGAATGTTATTGTTTTAACATTCATTCCAAAATTTTTTTAATTATTGTAATTTTTAGTTGCACAGCCTAATCAATTCAATATCTGAGAGCGCTTGTAAAGAATGTGTTAACTATTCATTCTAAAGGGGTTTAGTCACCCTTGTATTAAGCCAGATCTTTAAGTAGCTACAAACTTGGGCTTCAGTATCACGTTATTCCTTACAAAGGGGGAAGGAAGGAAAGAAGGGAGAAATGCAAGTGGCACCCCCAGAGAGCAGTAAACAATGACCACTTCCCTTTACCTTTATTTTACTATGTATAATTTTGGCTTTCATCAGGTCATTACAAGTAAACTGTATATAAGTAACACCATAGAGTTTATTTTTTAAAATGTCTCTTATATAATGATCTTGTGATGGATTTTTGAGATTGGTATAAATAAAATGTTGAGCTTATCAATTTTCCTAATTAAGGGTATTTCTTGCTATTAGTGATTATCGTATAACTCATATTTCCTTCTTTTATCTGTATGGTACTATTAAGTGTTACATGCAGTTTTTATAGCTTTTCTCCATTTTGAGTTCTTCGTGTGTGTTTGTTTTTCATCCCACTTTATTTCTTGGTTAGAGTTTTCTGTCTTTTATTATTTTTTCTCATTTTATCTATTTTATTGTTAGCTATTTCACATTCTTTTTAAAAGTAGGTGGAGTATAAACAATCCAATAAAATAAATATATGTCACAGCATATACTCATCACCTCATTCATGTCCACCACAGTCAACAAATTAATCAATTGTAATGCCCAATAGTATAAGAAAATCCCCAACATCAGACCTAGTCAAACTGTTTTCTGAAAGAAGTAGCAAGGTCTCAAGAGAGCAAGAGTCAATGTAGATTAGTGATGTGTAAGGTGGTATTATTAGAGGAGAGCAGGAAAAGGACAGATGGTTATGAGGCTTCAGTTACCTAAATAGTTCAAAGTGGAGTAACTGTGGGGGTAAGGAAAGTAGTGATCTAAACACTTTAAAGTGAGAGGATTTAGAATGACCATTGTGTTTAGCCTTGATAGAAGCAAAGACTATGGACTTTATAGGATGGAGAAGTTCCTCCATTTATAGGTGCTCCTATTGGTTCCCAATAAGATTTAAGGTGACTCAGTACTAAAACTGAAATACTTCAATTACTGAAGAAACAAACTTGAACAAAGAAATAAAGTAGAAGAGAAGACTTAGCTTTAGGTTTATTCCTTTCATTGAACTTCAGTGCCTGATGATAAAATGGGTGGAAACAGTACTGCAGGTCTCACAGATCACTCTCTCCAGTTACCTTAGGATTGGTTCTTAAAATAGGATGAAGATTATTTTTAAATATATAAATTGAAATTTTCAAAAACATAAAAATTAGAACCTCAAATTATGTTACTTTAAAATGAATTTTATCAACATAGGTTTTGTTAGTGGAAGACTCAGAAAAATATGAAGTATTCAGCCAACCAGATAGAGAAGAGTTCCTGTTTTGTCTTTTCAAACATCTTTGCCTTGGTGGAGCGCTTTGTCAATATGAAGATGTGCTTAATCCGTATCTGGAAACAACAAAGCTTATCTATAAGGATCTAGTGAGGTAATGTTGCTAGATTACAATATGTAAATCTCTGGTTAATAGAGTAAATTATCTGTTTAACTATGGTGGGATTACCCAGCATCTATTGTTTGTGGTCCTGTTAACAACCAAAGTATGTAAAAATGGCACCACCCTGACCCCCTTCTCATAGCCTCCTCTTCTTCCAAGCTAAAAAATTTCTGGATTTCTCTGACCCTCTTCTAGTGCTCAGTCTCCTCATTCTTTATCTGCCTCTTATTATTTCCTCATTCAGACCTGTTACCTGCTCCACCTCTTATTAGCAACTGCCATCTTCCAAATCTCCTTTTTTTCACCCAGGCCCCCTTTTAAAAATCTCAAGGGATATTTGATACTTGATTTTGCTGGACTAACAGTCAAAAAATGATTGCCTTTGTTCTAAAGAGGCAGGAAAGTTTTCATCTAGATGTAATCTTTACTTTTTCAAACTAATCCCAAATCCCAGGCTGTTTTAGATATTCCACTAGGGTTATTTTTTTTCTTTTTTGAAGATTAAATAAGGATAAAAACTTTATAAATCTTAGTTATACTTTAGTTTTAAATGAAGTAAACACTTTTTGGTTGAGATTTTCAGTGATGAAGATATTGGATCATCTTTATAGGCAAAAGGGGATAGGAACAAGTGAAAGCTAAAGGTCACAGAGTTTAGTTATAAAAATTACTTTAACAGGAAAACAGCAGAATTAGCTTCTCATTGAATTCTTGATTGTTACTTATACTCAACACTCCAATTCTCATATCCATTCCATGTGTCATATAGTTATACAACAAACTGAAGGATTTACCTATTTTATTTAGTTTATTACTGACATGGTTTTAAAAACAAATATTTCTATAAGCTGTCTCTGATTTTTATGAAAAAGTTATTAAACATTATTGGAAGAGTTATATTAGAAACAGAATTTCAGAAAAAGCATACACGTACCTACATCAAACATATTCTGTCTTTATCATTTGCAGCTAATGAAAACTTACAAGACTACTCCTAGCACTCCCTGTAGATACCCCTCATTATACCCTAGACACATACACACAAACACACACACACACAGCACTGCCACCATAGTATGTTGTCCCTCATCAGCCACATGAACCCGTAAAATTCCTCACTACCATGCGCTGTAGAGGAGGAAATTCTATTAGAGATATTTGAAATAGAAATAACTTTAGAACCTAAACATTTAAGAAACTGCTGTTTTTTTTTCTAACATTCCCTTTCCTGGATTCTTACCTGTGATTCTCCTCTATACTCTTTGGGTGCTAAGAAAAAGCATGCCTCAAAGAATAATGGCCACTTGTTAAATGAGTAGCCAAAATTCATAACATCTTACAGAGAAATAGGAATTGTGTCCATGGAATCACTTAATTAGGCAACCAGCAAGTGTTAATATTGTAAACAGAACTGCCAAGCTCTAAAGAGACCACAAAAGGAGCATCAGACAATCCTTAACCTTAAGGAAATTACAACAAACTAACATTAAATAATATTAAAGTAATTGTTTAAAATCTTTTATAAGTAAAGTTTTTATATAATCAAATATTCAATTAGGTATAGGCAAATGTCTATAGTTCTTTATACTGTAATAAATAACACCAGAAGTTTAAAATAGGAAATTGTCAGTATCAATAGTCAGAAGTCTTGATGGAACAAAGTCCACAAGGGCCAGCAAAGAGGAGGGCAGTTTGTTCCCAGTTCAGGGAAGAAGCACTGCAAGTCCTCATTCTAGGGGCGAGGGCCAGAAGGAGTCCAGCCAATTACAGCATTACTTTTTTTGAGAACCATTAAATATTTCTCTCATGGTCCAAACTTAAGCATGCTTATGATTTTCTTTGCTAAATGAGGAGGGGATATATAATTGTCTTCCTTCAGTAGAATATTATAGTTGGAATAAATATTTGCTTACAATGGCTTCGGTGCCAACACAAAGCAATTGAATGGGTTATCTCAGAGTCCCTTGAGAGCTATGTTGGTTTGCTTATCACATGCACTACTTGTGGCTTTTCTAATATTGGTCATGCTCATTTGGGTCAGATGTGTCATTTGGTTAAAGTAAAGATGTAGGGTGGATCAGTATAGCAGTTATCAATGAATATATAAGTAGAGGACACATAGGTGGAACTTGAAGTATCATTAGTAATTTATCAGACTTGTGAACCATATAGCCAATTAAATTATTTTTACAAATCAACTTAACAAGGAAGGATATTTTTTTCGGTTCCTTTACCTAAATTTTGGGTCCTTTTACATTCTTTAGGAAACTATCTGCTGTCTTTCTAGTTATACATGTAGTAGCTGCTTTACAGTATTTAACCTGCCTTTGTAGCAAAACATCATCACTAATTCATTCTAGCAAAGAAGTCCATTTTTACTTATGTTTGTGGATGTTGGGGGCACATTACAGAGCCTGATTTTAGGAGTCTCTGGCTCAAAAAAAGAGATAAAAACGTTCTTAAGATAGTTTCTCCCTCATCCATTATTACAAGTCTTATAAAATATACCTTTTAAATGTGTTGGAAAATACCTTCTTTTCAAGTATTATGGTTCCTTAAATAATGTAGGCAATATTTTAGAGTCATTTTATTAGAGAGTAAATGATCAGCTGTTTCATTACATTTCAAAAATATCTGTGCAGAAATAATTCTATAGTTACTAATGGTGCCTGTGTCTTTTCTACTTTTAGACATTAAACACATGCTCTTGTCAAAGTTTTTGGAGAGGTTCCCCAAACTACATATCTGCCCCAGATGTGAAATTTTATGATTTGAACTGAGAGGCTTAGATTATAGCCTTCGGATGCTAATTAAACAGTGGGATTCTTGTTTCTTAAAATGATCAGAGTTACCTAGAATGGTCTGTAACCATTTTTAGAGTCAATATGGGACTAATACTCAGGAATTGGCACAAATGATATTGATAAAAAGAAAAAAAACCCATTCATTATATTATTTATTTCTAGACCATTAATATAATCGCACTTTTAAAAAGAACAATATGGGAATTATGTCCCAGCATCCTTAAAAACCATGGTTATCAGAAGAATGAGTTAGTGACTGCCAAAAATCTGATACAATGCAATTGTTAGTAGCACATCTGAAGTCACTAATGAATATCACTTTACATTTCCTTTTCTTTTTTTCTTAAGAGATATCAGACGTATGATACCAATCTATAAAAAAATTAGACAAATTATAAGATATTTTAAAGTAACAGTAATATAGAATTGGAGGTGATAAAATGGAGTAAATGATTTATTTCTGTTAGGAACCACCTTCTAAATATTGTATAAATTGTAGCTTTTTAAAATAATACGTTTATGGTACATGTTAATACTTGTTAAGTGATTGCTAAATGAAGTATCACATACTACATTTTCCTTTAAGTTTATTTGAAAAGCACAAATTTTTAAAAGGTTTTTTTAAAGATTTTTTTAAACTGAAGGGTAATTTACATATAGTAAAGTGAACAAATCATAGTGTACATACAGGTTAGTGAATTTTTATATATGTTTATACCTATATAACCACCTCCAGATCAATATTTAAAATTAGATATAACCATAGATATGTTTCATATTTTGATCTGGGTGGTTATGTAGGTATATACAAGTGTTCTATATGTAGTGGTTATAGTCATCCCTTGGATAAGCACAGAATTTTAAATGTAGCCTTCAACTTTCAAGCAGTATATCTTAAGCACAGAGAAAAAAAAGAAATAGACCTCAACCCATGTCATAGAATTATACAAAAATCAATTTAATTACGTGCTTCCTGGGTTTAAATCTGAATAAAGTGTTTCAGAGATGAAAACTGCCTAAGAATCTTGAACCCTGAGATTGCTTAGGTCTGGCCTTCCCCAATAGCTGCACAAGCTCAAACACACATACATACCATCACCCTCCCACATAGTCCACCTTCTTCCTTCTCTTCTCTCTTCATTTTACATAAATAGGGAGGGAGAAGCAATCTTTCACCTGATAAGATGAAGAAGAGGGATATCTTCCTTTAAATTTAATGTACACATGTCACACCTGAATAATACCCTGGATGCATATGTATTTATATTGTAGGTATAAAT